AGATAGATAGATAGATAGATAGATAGATAGATAGATAGATAGATAGATAGATAGATAGATAGATAGATAGATATTAAAATCACTTTCTTTACAATGTTTTGTTTTTGTCCTTTTAGATAAAAAAATACTGACTATTTCTGCAGTTTTTATAAGTTTCTGCATTTCAGTGATAGAGGAGATACTGTATTTCCAAAATAAAACCAAGAGTGATTTTTAAATTTTTTTTACTGTGTAGTAATATTGTAACATCTTGACACAAATACTAACATACATTTATTAATTCTCCGTAAGATATTTAACACGTTTCAGTTTTTCTCCCTCTAATGCACACAAGTTGTTTCTCTCAGCGCAGATCCAGTAATATTTCATTCTCCTTCAAATCTCTTCTGCCCTCCTTTCTCTCATCTGAGCTCCTCTTTCCTAACCCATTTTCCCACTCTTCCCCACATCTGCCACTTATTTAACATTCTCTCTTTGAGAGTTGATCTTCTTTCTACTTATCTGTATTTTTTCTCCCCCTCTAACCTTGACATGGCTGTCTTGTCTGTCTTTCCACTCCTCCATTTATTACCCTGTCAGTGTTCCTTCTCTCTTCAAACGTCACCCAGTCATTTCCCCTTGCTTCTCCTCTCCACCTTATTTGTCTCAAGTGTGTTTTACAGCACACACAGACAGATACTGTATGTTCAAACAGTCTATTTATAGTGGTGCTTTTATGTTTTTTGTTTGTTTTGAACTCTTAATAGAGGAAAAATATTGATAAATGTCTCATCTACTTTCTTAAAGGAGTGCTGAGTCTTTGGAGGTGGGTTTCAGATGCCGGGCTGATGGGGGCGGTCCTGTTCGCTCCAGAATAAATTGGTGACCACTTTAATAGGAGTGGAGCTTCGCAGTGAGAAGGCTGACCTGCAGGATACAGGTAGATTCGCACAGTGGGGATTTAAATGCATTAATTTTTGTATTACTGTGGAAATAATCTCAATCTAATCTAAAAGCCTTGTCTGTATGGAAAATAATAAAGCTGCAACGTTTATAGAAAAGTCTTCACTGCTCAACACCAGGACCAGAAAAAAAGGAAGTTATTTCACCAGCTTTGTTCTTGATTAGACATTACATTTGGAAAGTTATTAAAAGCTATACAGATATGTAAGAGAAACAGGATCAATAATTGGAAGTCAAGGTTCAATTCAGTTCAGTTCAGTTCAGTTCAGTTTAGTAATACTTTATTAATACCAAAGGGAAATTTAATGTTGTTGTAACTCATATTATCCAGGAAATCTGATGAAGAATGTGAGGACAGTCTGTTGCAGTATGACAGTCTGATGAAGAGGACACTCAGGACTGTCCATGGTTTGGTCAGAAAGCCTGTCAGGCAGACACTGGAGTCAGGCATATAATCCTGCAGCCAAAACACAGCCTCTTTGAACACAAATTTGGAGGCTTTGCCATACTCGAAAACTCACCAAACTTTACACAAAATCGTCCCCCAGCGAAAATAGCAAGATTCCATTGGAATTTTCAATGGGCGTGGCCAAATGACTCCACAGCGCCACCTAACGTGAGATAGAGGAACTGGTAACTGCATTCCTAATACTCTGGCTGGGTTCTTTTTAGGGCTTGGATTTTCACAGCTTGKTCCCCAACAATCTCGCATTACCCATCATGATCAATGGAAGAGATGGTCAATTTCAAATTGATTTSATTTAYAGCACATTAAAACAACAAAAGCTGACCAAAGTGCTTTACAGTTCAGTCAAGACTTGTATAAAAAATAGATACAAATACAATACAGAAACACTGTAGTATATAAAACAGCTCTAACTGAAGGTTAGAACTTTCTCCTTCTCCCTCGCCTCTTTGCTCCTGCTCTGCGCCCACAGCACCTCCTTTTCAACTCATCTGGAATTCGGGGCTGTAGTTGAAGGCTAGAGATGAGGTATTATTTGAGGTTTTCAGATGCCAATTAGCTACTCCTTGTTATAACAAACCATCATGTTGCTATGGGTTTGCATCATAATAAATGTCCAAAAGCAAAATAGGTGCTACCAAAAATCCTTCCAGTTGCACACCATCTAATATCAAAGGGAATAATCATCCAAAAAAGCATTGTTGATTCTCAAAAGTTGATTCTTTTCTAAAAATCTTTATTAAAAGACTCCATTCCAGCTCACAGCCTTGGACCTTATCAGAAACAAACGAACAACAACCCACTCCGGAGCAGCTGCTGCCCTAAAAAGAAAAATAATGAATCACCCTCTTAAAGTCACATGTAAACCTAACTTCCTGGTCACACCCCTAGGGGGCGGTACCTTTTTTGTCAGACATTGGAATGTAGCTTTGTTTATGCAGAAAGAAGGGCCTCCTACTGATAAGACATACTGACTATTTCTCTGTTTAAAGCATACGCTTACATTCAGTTAATTAAACACAAAATGTCCTCAGATATAAATGTTAAATACGCTGTATTCAGGTGAGTCGCACAAGATTTTTTCCCCGACTGTGCTTATTTTTGTTTGGTCAGATGTCTTCATACTTCATTCCTTGTGTGAGATGTTTGGGCTTTTAGACTCTGTGAAACAAGCCGTGGACCTGAGGTGCAGCCAGAACGAAGGTGACAGCTGTCAAAACCACACACACACACACACACACACACTGCAGTGGGTTTTATTAACCAGTTTCTTGTTTTTTATGTAGTGCTGGACCAGTTCTTGAAAGACCAGAGGAAGCAGAGCTGCAATAAAAGCCGATCTCTCAAAGCCTCGTCCCTGAATCACCTTCGATCTCATCGTCAGAGCCGGTGGAGAAGACGCAGCCATAACTTGCTGTCGGCYGTTAAAAGAAGCACAGTGATCTGTCCACTTCCTGTTAACGGTTTCCCTGCTGCACCTCGCTCGCAGYTCTTCTCTCATCCCTCTGCCTTTGTCCCTCAGAGTCTCCTGGCTGCAGGTGGCAAAGCAGACGGGGATGACGAGGACAAAGACATGGCAGGGATGCACAAAAATACCAAACAAAGGAGGGGAAACCTTCCTGGAGGCTCCTACACCAGAGAGGAGGAGGTGAAAGAGACAAAAAAAMCTCACATGAGACTGAGATTATTAGAGAAAAGACGACAAGAAGAAGTAATAATTAGGATGTGTAGTCTGAAAAGTTGCAGTGAAGAAACAAAAACTCTTATTATCCACTGCAACACTGTCTTGCTGCAATAATCTATGTTTGCAATATGCAGTATTCAACTATTTTTTTGTTTTCAGGGAGCCATACATTTTAAAAGTATTCAGTAGTTCTTCAGGCTTTCTGCTGTTCTTTCAAAGCTTTTCCTCACAATTTTATTAGCCAGWTCCTGTGGATCTGTTCTTTTTAAACAGGCCTGCTGCACTCCTCCCCTTTGTCTGTTCTTCTCGGTCTCAGTGAAAAAGCAAAGAGGGGCCTCCTGTGTGTGTCTGCATCTGAGGAGCAAAATGTTTTCATCACCTGCGACTCGGTCCCCACAGTTCGTTTAAAAGAGTCGGTCAAACGATTCAGATCAAACTTTTCCATCAAACTTTCCAGCAGAGCCRGCTCTTGGCATAGGCGAACTAGGCGGTCGCCTAGAGCGCCATCTGCTAGAGGGGGCGCYGAACTGCAGAAGACAAAAAAGTAWTTATTTGTAATTCTTGGYYGTAACTCTGCTCAGCACCCYTTTCAGTTAGCTTTGTCTTAAAAACATATAAYTAAGTATTACAGGAAAAATAAACTACCCATAAAACAGTTTCTCCACCTTGATGGAGGAAGGAGGAAATACCTAATTTCCCTCTGGGATCAATAAAGTATTTTTGAATTTGAATTGAATTGAATTGAAAGGAGAGTGGAAAAAGTTCAAAACTTAATTCTACCGGCAGAACAGGTTAGAAGATGGCTATTTAATGTTATTTATTGTTTTTTTTTAAATCATCCTACAGGCTCTGACATGTTAGATAATTTTGAAAATGAGGTTTTGAAAAAATCCGTAAGACTTGAAAAAAATCTGAGATTGCTCTACAGTATATGTCTGTATACCTGCAAAATGATGTAAAATCCTTATAACTTATGGACAATCCATACAAGTTGACATGTATGTTGTATTTATTTGCGTTTTGGGAAAGCAAATAAATCTAAGTTTACCATAGTACCTTACACTGTCAAACTTGTTTTTAGGGGTTTAAATTGGGGTGGTGGGACATAGTTCGGTGGGGGTGGGGGTGTTGCGCTTCAACTCGCCTAGGGCACCAAAATGGCTAGAGCCAGCCCTGCTTTCCAGTTAATTTTTCTGACTTGGGCGGACCACCGGGTGCGGTCCTGGGCTGTGGGTGGGCTCGGGGCTTGGACGGTCGCTGGGGGCGGGGC